GCTTGGGAAAAAACTGTTCCTTATCGGACCGATGGAAGTGAATGCCTGGACGGCTGACTCCAATGGCCCTACCGAGATGTGCGGGGTGATTCCTGAGATTAACGGTGGGTACACGAGCGGCAAGTCGGGATGGGGTATTCTGGGTAAGGAGGAAATGGCAAATGCCTCGCTGAGACCTGGGTACCGTGCTCGCGACGGTTGAGCTGTGCTTGAGGTATGTGATAAAACCCTACCGATAGTACCAGCGGAGAGACCATATTGGGATGACCGGCCCGTATGTGAGGTTGCCTGATTTTCTTTTATGTGTTCCCCCTCTGTAAAAATTGATTGAGATTGGACTGTTGGACGGACACTCTTCTAAGTCTATTCCCCCTCCCATTTAAGTCTGCACGAGTGAGAGGTGATCGGAAGGAAGGAGAATAGAGGTCAATTGGAATGGAAGCAAGAGAAAGAATGTGGGCAAATGGATGACCGACCGAGAGAATGATGGAAATGGGGTACTTAGAAAAAGGGAAGGTAAAATAGAGAGACCTTGATGAGGGGTCTGAAATAATTTTCATATAGGACAAGGGTTGACCTGACCAAAAGGATTGGTTGGTGCCTTTTTTTGAAAACAGGGGTCCGGTGCTAAAAACAAGATGGCGCGATAGTTGCCTTCCCCGATCTATACTAGCGGCCCGAAAATGCCAGTAGTTGTAAAGGATGGGGTATCGGTCGTCCTCCCGAAAAATGGAACGTGGACGGACCTTGAACCAGCGTATCAAACGGTAATGCTGGAAGGTGAGGATGCTTTCCTTTGGATAGAAACAATATGGACTAATGTCAGCTTGACGAGGCTGTCACCAAGCGTAATAGATTTGGAATTCCGAGGGACAGTGGAAGCCCGAGGGTGGGTCTACTTGTCGCAAGATGGGGAGAAAGCTATGATCATAGAATTGACACTCGGGAATATGCCGGACGAGTTGTTTAGGAAAGCAGAAGCAGAGCTTGTGTGGCTTACATGTCAACGGAGGGAAATGAAAATGGAAAAGGTAGACGTACGGGTGAAACTTGGGGATAGAGGAAGCATGAGGCGACCCGTAAGAACCATGCGATGTGTGCTGCCCTCCTTCCTAGTGGATGCAGTTTTCGAAACCCGGAGCAGGCTAGTACGGATATGCCAGTCCATGACGAACCTCGGGCTATACCAATGCGCCAGGCAAGATCTTTTTCGGTTATCGGTAGAAATGGGGCCGTTCGAGGGGAACTGGGCGGAGGAGCTGGCCGAGATACTAAACTGCCGTAGCATAGACAATATCTTTGTCCCTAGCGCTGTGCATTGGGGGATAGTCTACATGAATGTGGCAATAGGGGAGACGTTTCTAGATGGGGTAAGGGAGTTGGTATATGACGAGGAGGACGACTTCAGTGATGAAGACGAAGATGAAGAGATAGAGGACTAGGACTTCTGAGAGGGGTGGGGAAGCTTAACTTAGGAAGGACGGGTGACCTGGTATTGTGCAGGAAAGGGAAAGATGACTAGAGAAGAAAGAATGATGGAATACCCCTTCAAAGGCTGGGAACCACGGCGACTCAGAGGAGGAATAAAAATGCCTATACCAACAGGGAACGGATGGAGAGGGACCACGTGCGACTGGATTGGGTTTGAGGTTGCCAGGGACTTGTCATATGTATGGATAGAGCGGATTTGGAACGCGAAAAGGGAAGAGGAAGGTTGGGATGATATAGCAGAAGGCAAGGTAGAGTCAGTTGGAACGATTGTCATTTCCGAGGATGGATGACACCTGTTTTGCACCATGTTAGCAATGGGACAGGACCCGATGTGGCTTCTAGGGGATGCAGAGGCCCGGACCCGAAAGGAAGGCAAGTTGTTCGCCAACGAGGGATGGGACGAAGTTAGTAGCAGAGTTGTGATGGGAGGATGGAAGGAACTCAAACCTCCAAGTCTACGGATAACGGCTTGGGTACCGGAATTCATAGCCGAGTGGTTTGGTGGGTTTGAGCACATTTTAGAAGTAGCCGACTCCATGAGAAGGGTGCATATAGAGTGTGCCTGGTTGACTGAGGAGTTCTATAGGCTCTCATTGAAATATGGGCCCTTCTACGGAGATAAAGCCGAGGAAGTCATCATCGTCCTAAGAATAGGCAAGTATGACCGCCTAGAGGTAGAGGCAGAGTCTTGAGACGCCATAGTTAGCCGGGAGGCGGCGGCTGCACCCTCCTACGTAGACGACGTCTTTAAAATATTTGAGGTATTGTGGTTCGACTGAATGAGGCCAAGGGATCGAATACAGCGAAAAGACCTGAGTATGGAGAATGCTTGTGAAGTAAGGTGTAACATAAGAAAGAGAGTGTGTACATTAGGCCGTAGATGGTGCATAAGGATCGAAACAAGGGGGAAGTGACAGCAACTGGAAATGGGGGTCGGGTAGAATTGAATGTGTATGAGTTGGGGATAGCGGCAGGAACCGGTGTACGATAAGTAGGGAGGGTTGAAAGACTAAAACACGAAAGACATGGAATCTCGGTGGGTGCAGCGATCGGACTAAGAAAGCAGGAAAGGAAACATTGCGAGATGGCCCAGTGAATGACGTTCTGGGCGGATAGACCTCGTGGGATCCTGCTACCAAGAATATCAGAGGGCAGGGTCGAAATAAGCCGGCCGGTGAGAAATACGGTAGGCAATCCGGTAATGGACTGGGTGGGGGTAGAGTTGGTGGAAGATACGGTGTACCTAGTAGTGAAGCTAGAATGGCGGGCGAGAGGGGAGTTCGGGGGCGTAGACTTGAACTGCCCAGGGCGTGTACACGCGACGGGATCCTTACACCTGTCGGAAGAGGGATGGCGGACCTTTGGGATTGCTTTAGCTTCCGGGGATGACCCCGTGCGAATGTTCGAAGGGGCATGGCAAATAACCTGGCGGAGGTAAAAGTCGCCGCAGCGGGGGTTTTCGAGCTGCCAAATGAGGTCGTGCGGATGAGTCTACCACCCTTCTTGCTAAGACAAATGGGAGGCATAAAACGAGTGGAGCAGGCGGTGACTGTCGTAACTAGGCTAAATTTTGACGAAGCGTTAATGTATCGAGAATACTATCGGGCCTTCCTAGAGATGGGGCCTTTCGGGGACGAACAGGGTCGCGAAGTGCTTTGCATTCTACGGGCGGCAATAGATACTAGGCCGGGAGTCCCACAAATAAATGACGAGGCCTTGTGGGGAGTCATCCGGCGGGAGGTAGGCTGGGGCGCGACCTACATAGACGACCTGTACCGATTATACGAACAACCAGAAGAGGCTACTGCTCCCGGAGGTGTGGAGGGATAGTTGGAACCAGAAAAGAAAGTTGAAAAGCACGAAGGGCAAGAGGGCAGTAGGTGGACGGTTTCTAAGGATTGGATGTAACACTTTCTATGTGGATCATGCAGGAAATCACCGAGGTAACCATGGCAGCAAGACGTGAGCATATGGAACTTCAGGCCCGTGTGCGAATGACGCGCCAACCCCGGTACCCCGGACCGCCGTGGAATAACAGTTGACGCTGGGAAGTATCCCTCCCATCGAGTTTAACTTATCGGGGGTTCGATATAGAATGACGGCCTGTGACTTTGGGGAGGGACGCCGCCTTCATGTTTGTAGAATATCGGTGGACAGGGATGAGACTCGACCGAGGACCTGGGGACGATCTATTTTCCAATTTGGAAGTTACCGGGACCATGTATCTGCCTGAGATCGGTTGACACTCGTTGGGGGTAGAGATAGCATAAGGTCACGAACTGACGCCGGTTTTTCAAAGGGCCGCCCGGACTTTGACCCGGATAGGACAATCAGTCAGGGGTAGAAGGAACGTGGGCTTACTTACCCGGGTGGAAATGGGGGGATAGCGTGAATTCAGAGCACCAACCACGCCGCTGAGGTGTCAGGTCCCCCGTTTTATGATAGATCTCGGCTTCGGGAGCCTCGCAAGGGCGCGGGAGCTGGCAGACTCGGCAATAATGTGGGCAGACCACTTTTCCTCTCTAACCATCGGGATGTTCTATGATGTCGCCATGAGGCATGGGCCGTTCTTGGGAAACAGGGCCCACGAGTTATTGGAGGTCATCCATATCCTGATATTTCGTGCGCGCTGGCTAGACCAGACAGGGCACGAACGCATAATCCAAAGGGAAATCGAGATAGGAGAGAGCTATTTGGTAGGGGTGGCTGAGCTATTCGAGGAGCCGACCGAACTGGAAGAACCACGAGGGCGCGAGCGGGACTAGGATCCGCAGGGAGGCCGATAGGGCAGATCAAGTATAGTTCGCTGCGTACGAAAATCCACCGATGGGAATAAGAAAGGGGCCTCGGACCCGGATGGCTAAAACCCACTAGAAAAACAAAGAAGGGGGTAGACTTCTAATGAGTGATCATAACCCGGAGGGTAAAAAACGGGAAACGTTGCTCGGGAAGGCTTCCCCTAGCAGGATGCCTAACCCGGACTCCCTCGCGTCAGCCGACGAGACAAGAGCACTACAAACGGGTTTGTGATAAAGGAAGCCCAGTCACGTTCATAGCTCGGTTGGGCGGCAGGGCCAGTCGTGGCTCCCCTTAAGGAAGGGCAATCAGGAAACGGGGATAGGAAAGAAGACCATAAAGATAAACCAACAGAGCTAGGGGCCTAGGGAACCTAAGAACCTCGCATTGCGTGTGTCCTGGGAATTCTTTGGCTTATGCAGAACTACGCAAAATGGCAACGGAGGAGGAGATAGATAATCATAAGAGTGAAGGGGAACCAGGCTTAGGAGGCAGTGCCGCACAAAGCGAAGGGGGGCAGAAGGACAAATAATCGATAAATCCGGATGGTACCAAAGGAAACCCGAAGGAGATCTCCACAGGGGAAAGCTCGGGGAAAGCTGGGGGAAGCAGGCAAGGGACTCAGGGGACCAAGGAAGGCAGAAATAAGGATAGAACAAGCCCCGGGAACTCGGAAGGTGTCGTGTCTAAGAAAGTAAGGGTCACGGATACGAGGCGCAAACTAGCCGAGATAGACAAAAGGACCGCGGAGTACAAGGCAAGATTGATTGAGGAAATGATGACTGGGAACGAAGAAGGCTCTCTGCAGGAGGAGCCCCGGGATGAACGGAGAACCGGCCGAGGTGGGACTGGACAAGGGGGTAAGGGTAGTGACCGTGGGGGAACGCCGAGCAAAAGAAGGAAAGAGGGGGAAAACTCTCCAGGGATGGACACGGAAAAGGCTACGACCCCGCCAGCCATAGATAGTAGGGCTGGCCGCCTGCCGACCGCGCCAGCAGTGACGCGAGGGTGCGAAGGACTCTGGAGCCTTAGGGAAAGAGTGTTGGGATGGTTTGACCCGGAAGGAACTACGAAAACCAGGGAGGGACAGAAGGCCGACAAGGAAGGTCCGGATAACAGTGTGACAGGCGAGGCCAGCAGCTCCGAGGGTGGCCTTAAGAAGACAGTATCGTCCCTCTCACAAACACTAAACAAAAGTCAAGGCTACCTAGCGGATGCTAAGAAAAAGTTGATGTTTGATGGGGCGAACATCACGCAATTCCTGATAGATTACGAGAATCTGGCTGCGCTGTTGAAATGGACCGAAGAGGAGAAGATGGACCACCTGGGACAGCATGTGTCTTTGAGCCTAGGACGGGACATAATGGCCATCGTGGCCGCGAGCCGGTCTTGGAAAGAAACCCGGGATGTAGCGATGAGAAAGTACCTGGCAACAGAGCAGATGGCAACGGAGGCCGATTTAGCGGCAGTCCAGAGGCAGAACTTCGCGACGTACAGTGACTTCCTACGAGAATTTACTTTGGTAGCACTAAGAATCCCCGGGGTTACGGACCGAATAATGAGTAAGTATTTCCTCAGACAGTTCTCCGAGTTCGACAAGGACAAGATCCTGTCAACTTACCAACAAACGAGTAAATTTGTAAACACTAGGGATGTTGATTTCAGTACGGTAACGGATCTAGCCGAAAAGACGGTAATGACCGAGACATTGGCCTTGCTTAAGGAAGGTGAGGTCATAGACTTGACCAGTAGGACGGGCCACAAGGTGAAAAAGGGGATTGAAAGCCTACACGAATGGGTGCACGGAGTCGACAACAAGATTGAAAGGATGGAGAGCGCGCTACTAGTTATGCAGGCGCAAGTATCCCGGCCCCCCCTCCCGCCCCAGGAAGCAATAGTTCCGCCGGGGGTGACCAATCGTGGGTTCGGACGGAGAGACCCCGCTAACGAGCAATGCAAGTACTGTACTGCGATAGGACATTATGTGCACGCGTGCCCAAAGATCAACCATGATATTCTGAAAAGAAGGTGTACTAGGTCGTTAAAGGGGGAGATATTTGGACCACAAGGGGAACGGGTGAACTGGAACTCGCCAGGAGGGATGCGGCGAGCCATTATCATGCTCAACGGGCTAGAAATAACAACCGTAGAAACCGAACCGGTGGGCGAGATCATCTGGGATCAACGCCAGGGGCTCGGGCCGCAGGTCAATTTTATTTTGGAAAACGACGAACGTGAGAGGGTGAACGCGACTACTTGGCTAGGGACGGCTGGGAGAAGGATTAACCGCGACACCGTGATGGAGGAGGTTGCTGGAAGTTCGGAAACCCAGGAAGAGCCTGAGGCCGAGAAACCGGAAAAGGTCTATGGGAAACCTAGGGAAGAGGAGCCTACCGACAAAGTTACCGCTGCCAAGAAGAAGTTTAGGTATCAAATCCCGATCTTATCCTTGCCGAAAATCGACGACACCATTAGCAAGTTACTAGGAACCATGGTGTCGGTGTCTTTTCAGACTATGCTGCAGGTTAGCCCTAGGTTGCTCAAAGGGCTTAGACAACTGTTGACCCGGCGGCGAGTAGAAATAGGCGACAACCCCGAATTACCAGAAGGAGAGAGGGAGGAGGAAGTTCCGCAAGAAATGGCTAACCTGCAGAGGAGTCGCGGGGACTTGGAGGATCTCGAGAAAGCTTTTGCGGACATTCGTTTGAGTTTGCCCGACCGAGAGGGCGGTGAGGTCATGAGGTCACCACCCGGGACAAAGCTTAGCTTTCATGCATTGCCCATAGGGAAGCTGAAAATCCAGATCGGGACTCATCATACCGACGCGTTAGTAGACGGAGGAGCAGAAATCACTCTCATAAGAAGAGATTTCGCAACAATCACGGGGTGTATGGTAAACAAGGAAGTAACAAGGAGCATCTGGGGGGCTGGCGGGGAAATCCCGTTCGCTGGGTACGTCACGAAGTGTGCTGTAAAGACAAGGGTCAAGGAATCGATCTGGTCGTTTCAGCGGATGACCGTAATGGAGGAGATGGACCACGACATAATCCTCGGGAGACCGTGGTGCACGAACGTGGAGATGATAGGCATGCGCTTGCACGATGACTCATACATGGTAGACATAGAGGACCCTGTGACCGACCGGGGAGAGCTCCTCCGACTCCTTGGAACGGGAGGAGACCCCCCGAAGGGGAAATTGGCAACATGGTCGCCGTCGTTCGATAATAGCACGCGGAAAGGGGCTTTCGCACGGATGGAGGGTATGAGAGAAAGGGTAGAAATAATGATTGAGGAAGCATTCAACAAGAAGGAGTGGATCAAGATGGGCCTGCCCCAGAAGAAGAGGAGGCAGGAGGACGAAGTCCTAGGTGTTATGGTAGCGGAAAAGGAATCAGAGGTCGAACTTGGTGCTAGCCCACCCAAACGAAAAGAAGTATGCATAGACGTGCCTAAAATCGCACTCGAGATCCCCGATCTATTACAACTCATCCAGGCCCTCAGATACCACAAGGTAGGAGTGGATTCGGCAGCCTTGGCCAAGTTCGAAAGAGAGGTGCAAAAGGGATATTGCCTAAATGAGAAACTAGTTAGTATTCAACCACGAGTCGTAGCGGCGACGGGGGCAATTCCGACTGTTCATTTTTTAGGAGAAAGATCCCGGAAGGAAGTGTTCGAAAGTACAAGCCGGTAGGGAAGAAATCAAAACCGGTCTCGATCCTGCTAGAGACGTCAAAGGAAAAGGCTATGGAGAAGGAGGAAGAGATCCTTCGAGCGATCCGAGAAAGAAGGGCGACGAAGGGACAACGGATACCAGATGAGGTAGCGGACACAATGAAGATAGGGATAGACGGGTTCTTAACGGAGGAAGAAACCCGCCTGATCAAAAAGACCTGCAAGGAGTTTCACCTGGCATTTGCCTTTAGTGATCACCAGAAGGGACGACTGGATGCGAAGTTGATCCCTCTGGTCAGAATCCACACGGTAGAACATGAGTGCTGGAATGACAAGGGGTCATCCTATGAATTTGGGATAGCAGGAGAAGTAACAGACCTCCTCCGAGCGAAGATGGACTCCTTCGTTGCGGAGCCTACGACATCGCCATACGCAAATCGGTGGTTCGTTTTTCGAAAGCCTAACAAGACACTAAGGTGGATTCAGGACCTGCAGAAGTTGAATGTGGTAACCATCCGGGATGCTGACTCGCTACCTCAGGCTGACTTATTAGCAGAATCGCACGCCGGTCGGAGCATTTACTCTGTGATAGATCTGTACTCAGGGTACGACCAACTTTCATTGGATGTTCGGGACAGGTCATACACCGCTATGCACACCCCCGTAGGCCAGCTACAGATGCAAGTGACACCTATGGGATTCACAAACGAGATGAGGAAGCGCAACGCAGGATGCTCGCCGTGGCCGGGGACATGTTCCCTGAAAAATGTGAACCTTACATCGATGACAATCCGATCAAATGCGCGCAGGAGAAGGACGAGACGGAAGTCCAGCCAGAGATCCGACGTTTTATGTGGGACCACCTGCAGGACATCAAGGACTTACTCCGCCGGTTCCTAGTATACAACATTACGGCTAGTGGACCAAAGAGTATCCTAGCAGTACCAGAGGTAACTATACTAGGATTTCGTTGCGGTGCTTACGGCAGGAAGCCGGATCCGGCAAAGACCGACAAGATATCACAGTGGCCGACACCACTGCGCACGACGACGGGGGTAAGGGCATTCCTAGGCGTAGTCGCCTTTTGGAGGATCTTCATTAAGAACTTTGCCAAGATTGCTGAGCCTATCCGGGATATGATAAGGGAAGAAGGAACCATGGATTGGACGGAGGAGCGAGAAGGAGTTGTCCAAAGACTCAAGGACATATTGACATCTGAGACAATCGCCCTGTCCGCGCCTTGTTTTAATGACGAAGTGGGACGACCCTTCATCCTAGAGACGGATGGAGGACCTTTGGCCGTAGGAGGTGTGTTGATTCAAAGGGATGAGGGAGGAAAAGAGAGGCCGATTAGGTTCGAAAGTAGAACCCTGAACTCTGCGGAACGACGGTACTCACAATTCAAGAAGGAAATTCTAGCCATCCTGCATTGCCTTAAGACCTTTCAGGCCTACCTATTCGGGAGGCGGTTCATCTTAAATATCGATCCGACAAATGTCGCAGGGGCTCTAAAGAATTACAGGCCTATAAATCCGACGGTAGGGAGATGGGTAGGATTCATCTGACAGTTCGATTACAAGATAGAACGGATTGCTGGAATCCGCAACAAGGCAGATGGGCTGAGTCGGGTTCGCATCACTCCCGAAGGGATGGAGGATGCCGAGCCCATAGACGCATTCCTCGAATACGAAGGAGGGACTCTCGCGGTGGATAACGAAATGATGAGCGAGGGATGAACATCGGGAGAACTATTAATCCAGACTTTGGAGAAGGGGGCACCAGCCGTAGTAGCAGAACTTAGAGAAGGATCGGTTACCACTCAAGGACGCAGAGAAGAAAAAGACTCATGGGGAGCGATAGGAGGACCGAAAGAGGAACTAATGACAATGGCGGTCGAGGGAGGCTGGGAAGCAGTGATGAGCTTAGTGGAATCTTGGGAACGGAAAGAGTTGCAATGGGTGGCAAACCAGATGCAGGAAGGAAAGGATGGGGGCCAGGAAGGAGAGGATTTTTTCTATGTCCAATCATACGAAGGGCTCTTTCGGGAGATCGGGCTGTTGTTGGTAGGAAACAAACAACCTACGGAAGTCAGTATTAAAGCAAGGGAAGAAGCCGAAAGGTACGTCCTAAGGGGGGGGCATTTGTTCCGAAGGGAGGAAGGTGCTATGCCCAGAAGGGTTGTGTGCGGAAGACCTAGGCAAGTAGACGTTATTCAGGCAATGCACGACAGGTTAGCTGGAGGTCATCGGTCGTCCAAAGGAACACTTGCAAAGATAACGCCATTCTATTATTGGCCAGGCATGGCAGGCATGATCGCCATATACTGTCAGACTTGCCTTATTTGCTAAGAACGAAGCTCGGTGCGGGTCTTCGAGCCGTTTAGACCAACGTGGGTGTTAGGGCCGGGACATCTGGTCCACCTCGACCTTGCGGTCATGCCTGTATCAACGGACGAGTACAGATATATCCTGGATGCGCGAGACAACTTGAGTGGGTTTGTGGAGGCAGTCGCCCTCAAGAAAAAGACAGAGAGGAGTGTGGCGGGCTGGATAGAAGACTTCTACTTAAGGCATCCGTTCGTCAGGAGGTTTATCGCAGACAATGAGACGAAATTTGTGAACCAAGAAGTATTGGGGATGCTTAAGAGACTCTGCGTTCCGATCAAACTCATCGAGCCGTATCACCCTGAGGCCAATGCACCTGTGGAAAGGGGGCACTGAACCTTGAAGAACACGATTGCAAAGCTCGCAGCAGACCATCTGGGGAACTGGCCTAGGTATCTTAAGCAGACTGTCTTTGAAAAGAATATGACTCATAAAAGGACAACAGGATGTATCCCGGCAGAGCTGTGGTACGGAAGAGAGATCGACTTTCCTGTGGAAGCCTTGGTACCTACCTGGAATAGGTTAGATAATGGTCCGCAAATGACCACTGAAGAGTTAATCGAGGCAAGATGTCAACAAATCCTTAAGAATGAGGAGGTCATGGAAGACATCGCCAACCGGGTGCTGGATAGCAGAATGAGGGACAAAGCAAGGTGGGACTAGGTTAAGAATGTCAGAAAGGAGCCACTTCAGGTGGGGGAGATGGTACTGCTAAGGAACTCGGCACTAAAAAGTACTTGGTCAAGACAGTTGGGAAGGAGGTTCAAAGGCCCCTACCGGGTCGCCAAGCGGGTGGGACTGAACACCTTCGAACTGGAAGATTTGGATGAAACTGGATTGAAAGGGCCCTTCCAGGGGCAACGAGTGGTCAGGTTTCTAAGTCGGGACCCAGTGGAACAATGACTTCAGGAGGCCGAAGATAAGAAAACAGAGGAGCCACAAGCTAAAGACTAACCACAGCCTTGCCCACACTATGGTTTGTCCTTGACCATGTTCGTGGGACTGTCATTTCTTTGGGACTGACGCTTTGTCTTGGACTGACTGAGGTTGAAAGGCAGCATGACTTGGGGGTTTGCAATATCTAACTTGTGTGACAACGGGAAGGGATGTTTGGGGCATTGTACCATAGTTTTTGACGGGAAAAAAAATGGGGTCATCACAAACGACGCATTCGCATGTATAAAAGAGTCGTGATGCGAGGGATACTGGATGCATTTTGGGAATGTCTACCGGCCTAAGGGGGGGGGGAGACGCGAGTGTGTGAGGGACATTGCGGGTGTTGTTTTGTTATATAGGGCTTATGAGTAAAACAAGAAAAGATAAAAAAATGGAATTTGGCAACGAGAACGACAACGGGGCAATCAACAGGCCTACCGGTGGGGAGGAAGCTGGACCAAGCCAAGGGAGGAGGACAACGAAGAGAAAATTGTACATTGGGCTCATGGGCGGGCCAGTGGCAGGCAGGGGTGGAAGGAAATGCTTGTGTAGGAAACCCTCACCCCTCCGCAAGGGAGAAGGTATAAAAATATCATCTGACAGTAAGGGCGAAAAGGGAAGGGCAAGTGTGGAAGAATGATGCGACACAGAAATGGGAGATAAGGCTCGGGTCTCTAACGAGGAAGGGGCCGACAGGGGCGAACGACGTGAGACTTGGCATGGGGAAAGCGAGGGGGGACAAGGTATGCACGACGAACGTGAGGAGGACGAGGAGAAAAGGGAGAGCCCGCTTGAAGGACGGAGTGGTCACGGCAGTTACGAGGGGTATGGACGGGGACAAAGATCCCTTTTACCTACGATCCAAAGAACCTTGCTGGTGGGTATAGCCCCATATAGACTGAAGACGAGGGGGACGAGGAGGAGGATGTGCGAGAAGCCATAGAAATCAGCAGCGGGGATGAGAGGGATGAGATCTCAAGGCCTAGGGAAGAGGGGCGGCCTCCAATGCACCAGCCGGGCGACGGGGGTTTCAGATGGGAGGACGAGTTTGGGCCAACGCCCAGTCATTGGTTTCAGCAATGGACCAATGTGATCAGGCACGAATGGATTATCAAGACTCGGGAACTCGCAAGGGCAGAGGTGGAAGCCACACCACTGGATTTTTTCAACGCGGCAGAGTTGCATAAAATTGTAAGGATGAAAAGGGAGATCGAGACCTACGGCCTGGGGGTTAGGAAGCCTGCCGAGGAACGGGGTGGACGAGGAACTGGGCAAGACGAGGCGCAAGGCAGCAATAGGAACTAGGTGTTGACTGAGTATTGAAAAAAATCGCTGCTTTCTGTCTGCGGAGACATGAGAATGACGAGAACGTGTATAATATGGGCAAGCTTGCTAAGGAGGAAGTAAAAGGAGGGCCAGCTAAGGCTGTGTCACGATAAGATAGAAGATAGTTTTTTAGGCTACTTTTTGATGAGTTACCAGGGACATAAGACAAAGACATGGGATTTGGGATGAGACCAATAGAGAGAGGGTGTATTGTGAATTCTGGATGGAATAAGGATTATGCTTTTGAGAGGGGAAAACCTTGAGTATGGATTGACGACCAAACCATGGCATTGAATGATTGGTCGAGTACAAGAGAGGTTAGGCAACCTATGGGTTAAGGGGCGTAAAGAACACTCCTTCCCTAGGAGCCTAATCCAACTGAGTCATGAATGAGACTGA